TTTTTGTAATTTTTTTGCAGGCAAGGGTCGCCCTTTTTTTTCGCCAAGTTCGGTTCATTTAAGTTGAGTTCGTTGCGGCTGTTGCACTTTGGCTGCAGGGTCTGACCCCCCTTGCCCAAAAGCCCCCCGCCGCCCATGAAGGGTCCTCGGAAATTCGCTTTTGTTGCGGCTTTATCAGATGTTGACATTTTTGCGGAACCACACTCGAGTTCATTTGCAATAATTGGTTTTTCTTGTTGTCTTCGCCGGGGGAAATATAAAGGATGGGGGCGGCGACGAGAGCCTTGTGCTAAATAGATTCCGTTGAAAAATTTTTGACATACTCGTATTTTCACGCCCTGAACTGCGTGTCCATTAATAAATAAGTCGCTAGCACTTGGAAAAAGATTAAACTAAAAGACAGAACACCAGAAAACTGGTTCTAAACATTTTTAATATACTGTCTGTATATGTATTGCAATAGGTCCTATGTTATAGGTTCCATTGTTTTATTTTAAAATAAAACCTTTTGCGCAAATCAAAAATTAATAATTAAGGAGGAACCTAAAAGTAACAGCTGTCTGTAAAATAAATGTATATCAATTATCTTTTAAGAATTGTTAAAATAAATAACTCGTACCAAATTCAAAAACAAAAATTATTGTTAATCTTTAAATTGAAGTCCCCCATTTTGAAAATGGTTTTATAAAATGTTCTGAAGAACTTCTCAGCCCAATGTTTTTTGAAGTGCAGACAAAGTCAGCGTTTTGTGGGTTAATGGATACATGGGCACTTACTCGGACGTAAAAACTACGCAGTTTCAGGTTCTGTTCCCGGTCCCCTTAACCCCTCTCACCACCTTAACCCCCTAGAGCCCGCCTGTCCCCCTTTTGCAACACTCTCTGAACCAAATTCCCATTCCCTTTATTGTGGCCAGAAAAATAAACTGGAAATTGCGTGTGGAATAGCGCCGCTAAATGCAAACAATAACAGGGCGTCAAGTTGCCAATAGATTGCCATGTCAATCAATCAATATCCATCGCACAGTCAGTCAGTTGGACACTCAATCAGTCAATTAGTCGACTGTTTGGCCCACATCCACATCAAATGGATCTTCCAGCACCTGTCAATTGGATATATCTGCAGGAACAGCTCAATCAAATCGATCGAACTGATCGAAGGAGGCTGATATAGATAACGATATCGATAGATATATACAAATACAATTAAATTAGGAACAAAAATATATAATTCTGGGAATTAGAGTATCAGAGCCAATCATGATCAAGGTATTACTTAAATTTCTTAGAATTGTAGAATTGAGCCATTAGGATTTAGCCAAAAGACATAATAAAACTAATCCATATACCAACATTTTTAACCACTGCATTTAAGCCTAATCCATTCGCATTATTTCGAAGAGTGGCAAAGGAACCTTTTGATCTCGAATTCTTAGGGAAGATTGGAATGTCCACTCCCCTTTATGCATCTTCATAATGAAGAGATCTCGTTGGGCAGATTTCCCTTGAATGATGTCTATTTTGCAAGTAAATGTGGCAAATCGACGAGGAATTCCATGCGGTAAATGAACCATTCCAGAAGACAACATGATCCACAAATGCCGTGGGATCGGGAGGGGGAAAAACTCTGACATTGCCGACCCCCAGCGATGTAGGAGCTGTCTGTCTAGATCGGCACTTGTGCAATTTAACATCCCTGTTTTTCACATCGGGGGAAATTGAAAGTGGAAAATTGTTGGCGGGGGGATGGAGCATCGCCTGGGGTCTATTTCAATCAGTGAGCACACTATCTGCGATCTGTCTAATTGCCAGGACGACTTCAGGAAGTACTCCATATGACGGGTGGCACTGCCACTCTCTCTCTCGGTTTTCCACCCGCAAATCTTTTCGGATGAGCGCAATTTCCGCTAGAGAAGGAATTGGCAACTGTCGCCGATAAATTTCCCTGCAACTTTTCCGCGAGTCGCCATAAAAACGAACGCACGACAGGCGGCAAGAGGCAAAAATAGCTTTAACTGCCCCGCCAATTCAATCTGGAGATCCCAGAGATCCAAATCCATTTCATCTTCTCCAGAACGGAACTGCAAATGGCAATGCAAATTAGACGGCGTCCATAAGTTAATTTGGGCCTAATGTTGAGACACTTTCCAAGTCGCCGGGTTTTTCCCGGAAATATTTAATAGCTGCGGAAGCATAAAGTAGAGTAATCTTATTTATAAGTCAATTATCTAAGGCAGTTTTTATGTTTGTGAAGTTATTAAGTAATAGTTCGTAAGAGCTTATAAGTTTGTTGATCACCAGTACACTACTTTACCTGGCGATAGGTAATTCTCCAGTATTATCTGTATAGTTACAATCGGTGAGTCGGTTATCTATCGATCACTTTTAATAATATGAGGTAAATAAATTTTCGTAAATCAAAAACATTCCCACCACTTGCTAACATTCAAAATTGGTTTTGGGAAATGTGTAAATCAGTTCCGGAATCAAGGCGGAACATAAATACATATATAAGCTCCATATGTTTCCAGCACATGTATACGCGTATATAGTATTTCATAAATCCATACGCACTCCATCACATTAGTTGGCTATTTTATGGGCTCTTTTCGATTTCATTTAGCGCTTGGCTCATTTCGACTTGTTCTTCCCCCATTTTTCCGACGGGGGGGAAAATGTCGAGCACTTCCAGGGCATCTCCTGTTCGTCTTGTTTTTCCCGCTTTTCGCTTAATTCTGATTACATTTATTTATGAAACCGGGCGTACATATAATTTCCGCTCGCCGGCCCCAACGACTCCAATGAATTATGTCAAACTAAAAAATAAGGAAAACAAAAAGAAAAGCACCGAAGCACCAAAAAATCAAAACTAGCCAGGAAAATAAAAAACAACAAATCGGAAAAACTAATAGCGCCTTTGCCTGCCAGTGGAAATCAAAATGAAAATGAAAAGCGCGCATGTAAAAATAGCAAATGAAAAGCGCATCCAAAAAAACACACAAGCCGTAGAGAGAAATGTGAACACTTCAAAGCGAATGCGAATCAAAGTGAAGACGAAACGAAAGAATAAAGGAAAACAAAGGGGAGGGAAAAGGGAGGGAAAAGGTGAGAAAAAGGCATACAAAATTACAATTTTACACCTGATACTTAATGATAAACTTATTTAATTAATCCCTTTTAAAAATAAAAAAAAAAATTAAAAATGCGAATGCTTCTAACTTATTGAAAATAAATCTTTCTTTCTTATTGATATCTTTCGGATCCCTAAGCTTATAATATTAAATAGTTTTAGGTGATTTTAAAGATATAATATTTTTGTTACATCTAAATATGATAGTTTTTTTTGGAACCTGAAAACAAATTTGGATGACAATTTCGCGCCTAAAACTTGAATACGTTTTTTCAGCATATTAAAGAAAAGAATTTTTCTCAGTGTGGCCAAAGGTGCAACTGAACCAAATTGGCACACCTTTTTGAGCCAAAGAAGAAGAAGAGGAGGAGCCAAAAAGAAGCAAAGCCGAAACCGAAGAAAACAAATTAAATGAAAATAAATTATAGCGAATCAGCTCTCTATATGTGAAAATTTCGTGTGTGTGTCGGACAAATGAAGCGAAACGTTACGTTTTTTTAGCAGCTCACTGCCCCTGTTAGTTTTTCCGTGTTTCCATTTTCTTTCGGGGGCTTTTGCCTAATTATTGTTGCTGCTTTTCATAGTCGGGCGGGCGCATTAAGAAAAACTTTATGCGCCATTGAAGCGTTCGAAAATAAAAGTCGCGTCCGCTTGCGTCAAACGTTGCCACGTGTGCTCTTATTTTTTTTGTTCATTATTTTGTTTTTAGTTTTAATTTTTTGTTTTTGTATTTTTTGCCACCGTGTGCGTGAGGGAAATTCACTCGTTACGCACACACGGCGTAATTGTAGCAGATCGCGTATACGCCGCATCGTCCCCCAAAAGAAAAACAAAAAGTGTTGCCACACACGGAAACACACAAAAAAAGTGAATGAAGTAGTAGGATGAGGAGGGTGAGGTACATACATTGTATGTGGTACAGTGAATAGTCGTGTTTGGTTATTTAATTGCCAACAATAGTGAAAGAGTGTTTTGATTGTATTATTGCTATATTATTCGTTTTTGTTAAATTAAAATAGAACAATTAACGCAACACTTAAAATATGTCATTAAATCATTTAAGGAATCAACATTCTGTAGAAATTTATTGTGTTTTCAGATCAAAAAATATTTAAAATCTAAAATTTTTTTAAAATTAATATTTTAAGCAAACACTCTTGCCCATTTTTATTCGAATTCTTTATTAATTCTGTATTAATATAAAGCAATACAAAAATAGGAATATTTATTTTATTTCATTATTATTTATTAAATTTTTTCTTTCTACATGTTACATTTCTAAATGTATTACTGTGTTTGCTATATTTATCTATAAGTTGTACGATGTTTCCAGGCCTTCTACTGAAAAGCGGCTCAAGTTGATTAAGTTATTTGGTCTGCATTGCAAAATTGGCCATTTCACAGGCATTTGTCTTTTATCAAGCCATTCGATTTGATTTCCCAATTTTCCAGAGTGATCCGGCACTTCTACTCCGTGTTTTTGTTTGTTATTGTGCCATATGTTTGGGGGCATCGTACAAGATTAATTGAGTTCACATTTATATGTTATACATGTCTGTTTTTGTGGTTTTTATAATTCCTCGAGTGAGATTCATTCGCTGGTGGAATTTTAATTGAAGCTTTTTTGGCGACGCCGAAGGTCGCGATTTGGATTGGGAATTCTCCGAATCGAATTGGATTCGAGCACGATGTGGGCTAGGTGGGCGTGGGTGTGGGCGTGGACGTGGAGGAGGCAGTGCCTCCTTTGATGTCTGGTGCTGGTGTGGCGGAATAAATTAAGAAAATGCAAGCGAAGTTGGCTAACGACGACTCCCCTTTGATGTGTGTGATCTCTTATGCTTACCCGTGTACTCTATTTTTCTCTCTTGCAGTTGACCGGGCGATGAGTCCGGCACAATCGGAGGACTCCGGATTGGCTCCGGAAAGGGGAACCACCTACGCCACCATCACTCTGCCACGGAATGCCCTGCATTTGGCCATCACATTCGCAGGTGAGAGGGGGGTCCATCCACTAATGCATCTCGAGTGGAACGGAAAGGGGTTGGGGATCCGTGGGGTAAGTCGATATCTTTATGGCGGTTTTGGAAACAGAAAACATTCATACTCTGAGGGAACAGAGAAATCATCTGACAGCTGTCATAGGAAATCAGCATTGATTATATAATTATGTTAGACACAAATTGAGCCACGGATCAATCAAATCAATTGGGAGCGCAGTTTATGCGGGTCGCTAATAATAATGATGATGATTGCTTCACCCATGGAACGCTCTGATCTAATCCGATTTTTGATTGCAATCAAAGGAACAAAGTCGATAGATTAGGGTTGGGATACAAAATAGCCAATTCTTAGATAATTATTTTGTATTATATTTAGGAGTTCGTATTTTAAACTGCATATCGTTAAAGATCATAAGGTATTATATATATTTATGTATGTTCGTATGTTAAAGGCTATAAAAACTTCTTTTACAAGATCAATAGCTGAAATCAAAATCGGCTTTATAATTATTCGAATTTCTTACAGCCTTAGTTTTTAATATTGAAGAGTATGTAGACGGATATGGTCGCATATATATAAGACGGCTGTACTAATTTCGGGGGCTCAGCATTGATTTATGGTATTGTCGATGGGGTCGGGTCTATGAAGGGCTGCCCTCTGATGGTTTGCAATGGGATGGGAATGGGGATGGCGATGGGGCATTTCGGGGTGGTTTCTTGTCTACAGATATAGCTGTATTGCCATATAGTATTGTTTATTCCGCCGATCGCCAGACAAAGTGGGCCGGCCACGAATCATTCGATTTGAATGCGGAACGCGTCTCCGTCTCCGTCGATAATGCCGTTGCTCCGTCTACGTCCGTATTCGTGGTGTCTCCGTCTCTTTCTCCGTCTGCCGTTGTCGCTGCCAAAATAAATCATCGTTCCAATCTACAGAGAAGCCCACCCCCAGGGGCAAGTTGGGGGGCGGGACGGGGGCCCGATGCCAGACATAATAATGAGTATGTACACGTAGGCACAGCAACCGCCACAACAACAGTTGTTGTCTTAAAAAAAAATTAAAAAAGGTTTATTTTAAAGAACCACACATTGAAACAGCTTAAATCAAATGAGAACATCAACTTAATATTAAAAACACATTACTATTGATCACACATTCCAAATGTGTGCTGAACTATGTTTAATAGAGAAATCAAGTCCTTGTGTTTCTAAACTAGTTCTCTAGTTGAGTTTTTAATAAGTCATTAATGTTTTGTGTTATAAAAAATATATAAAATATTTAATGTTATTTTTCAAATGTAAATTGGTATTAGGATTGTTGTCAACATTAGTTGTAAGAAGAAATATCAAGCGCAAGTAATTAAAAACAATAAAACAGACAATTAAACTTTTAATATGTCCCCTAAGCTGATAACTTTTTTTTACAATTTGCTGGCCTACCTAATAACTTGACATCTGCTGTAGCTGTGACTGATTTCGTCTGAATCAGAATATAAAGTCCACCCATTCGGATTTTGTACTCTTGACTAATCTGCCGCGTTGGGGATTTGGCGAGTGTGTGAAGTGGGCAAGGGTCGGCTGTTTCTTTGGGGGTTAACCTTAGACTTAGGCCACGGGTACTCCTTCTGGTTTTCTGACGTAAGCACCGCCCCTCCATAGAATCCAATCCCCCCAATCGCCATTATCATCCTTGCTTTTCTCCGTGGTCGCCAGTCTGCAATAATGTGTGTTGTCATAAAGCGTCGCGTCTGTTTTCCCCCGCATTTTCTTGCCATTTTTTTGTTGTATTTTTCGGCGGCTAGTTTTTCATTTAGTTTAGTTTTTTTTTTTTGGCAATTCGCCAGTTGCGTTCTCAATGCGGCTGGCCCCAAACTACTGGCCGTCGTCTTCTTTTTTAGCCGATTTCTTTATTTACGCGCCGTTGTGCGAGTATCTTGTTTCCCCCCTCCCAATTTTCATGCGTTTTTCCTCTGTGTCGACTGACGAGTCGCTGACAGAGTCGCCACAGGAAATCCAAATTGTGGACCGGAGGGACGGGAGGTGGGCTATATACCATCTCCAGAATCTTCAGTCATCGGGGGGAACTTTTATTAATTTGGAATGTTTTTGAGAAGTCAGGTGAAAATTATAGGGATTTTGGGTTCCCTAAATCTACCGAGCTTAAAAAAATTACATTGCAAAATGTCAAAGGTCTCTTACCCATTTGTCTTCCATAAACATGTTGGTTATATTTATTTTGCTGAGATTATTTTATGGTGCACGTATAAAACATATATTTATGAAGTTATAAAGTTATGCTTTATTATAAATTGCAATTTGTATCTTTTTTTTATTATATATATTTTATGAGTATATTTTATCCACCAGAACGCAACGATCTGTCGTATCCGCCGGTGGTGGGTTCCCTAAGTCCGGTGGGTCATGCGGCGGATTTCCTGGCGCCTGGCGATCGTCTCCATCAGATCGACGGAATCTCGACGATTGGACTGAGCAACCAGAAGGTGATGAACATGCTCTGCTCTGGAGGATCGGATGCGGGTCCTGCCATTGTGGAGATCGAGTATTCGTTGCCCGAATACAGTAAGTATGCCCCAACCGATTTGGGTCACCTATATGAAACACTTTTCCGTTTCTCTTTTTCCGGGGCGCAGCAGTTTCCCAGAACAGCCTTTGTGTGACCTCGAAACTGGCGCAGATCACCGTGGAGCGGGAAAGTGGATGTCTGGGGCTGACGCTAAGGGGCGGGGCCGACTACCCGCTGATCGTCACCCATGTGCGGCCCCATGGACCAGTCTACAAGACCGGTCGCATCAAGCCCGGCGATCGGCTGCTGCGCGTCGATAATGTGAGTGACTTTCGATTGGAGTGACACTTCCGTTTCCGCTTTTGTATCTAGTTTTCTCCAGAATTTCGCAACACAAAAACTATTTTTTGGATTTTTCTAATTGATTTATTGAAAAATATATTTGAAATTTGTCTGTTGGACAAAATTGAAAACAAACTGTTAGAAATACGTTTTAAAGTTGACTTTAAATTTATCATTGACTTCATAATCATATCAAAACATAATTTCAAGTGATTCTAAAAACTTTATTATATCCTTTAAACATTCCTAACAACTTATTATTTTCGACTATGAGTTAATAAGTTTAAATATATATTATTTAGGAGGGTTAATTTATCATAAGGTGCATATTTCATATAATTTGTTTATTGAATATCCCCAACCAGGTCTCACTTATTGGCAAGACGCTGGCGGAGGCGCAGCAGATCATCAAGTGCGGCGGCCACGTTTCCGGCTACACCAACCTGACCATCGAGTATGATGTTTCTGTGGTGCAGAGCGTCGAATTCTCGATGGGACCGCTGCTCATCGAGATCGAGCGACCGATGAACGATAAGTTGGGCCTGGTGCTTTGCAACTACACGCCGGCGGTGCCCATGCCCACTTCCGGTTCCGGTTCGAGTACTCCTTCCAGTGGCGAGAAGATCGAGGAATCGGCGGGCGTCTTTATAGCCAGTATCCTGCCAGCCAGCATTGCAGATCGGTAAGTGGTTTCCAGATCAGTTTCCCCTTGGTTCCTCCATCCTTGGATTTTCTGAATCTATTCTCATGTCCCCGTTTTTTTCCGGTATTTGTTCCAGTTGCGGCGCCTTATCCGTCGGCGATCAGGTGCTCTCCATCGACGACACAATGATCGAGCATACCGCCTTCAGTCCCGACGAGGTGATGACCATATTGGACACCAGCACGGGTCGCGGCTACACGCAGATGCAGATCATGCCCGCTCACGCGTTGGCCCGTCGCGGTGAGTTTTGGTGTTCGGTTTTCGGATTTAGTTTTGGTTTTAAAGGCCCCCAGATCATGCCCCCCACCATCCTTTATTTTTGGCTATCTGGCAGTCGAAATCTGCAAGGCCAGCCAGGCTCCCAAGCGACGCGACGAAGGTCTGGCGTGGGCGTCACGGCTAATGAACACTCGCAGCAGCGGCGGCTGAAACAATAGAGACGCCAGGCCTTATATAGTATAGAGCGAGGAGTGATCGACGGGTTCCAAAAGAAGTTCTAAGTGCAGGAAGAAAGAATTAGGAAATATTTCACAGCAAACACAGAAAAGAAGCGGAATTTTAAATCAGTTTCTAACGCAAAACGTAAGAGAATAGACTTCAAACAAGAGAGAACGCTATAATCGGGTGCCCCGACTATCAGATACCCGTTACTCAGGTTAAGGGAGTGCGAGGGAGATGGAGATAGAAACTTTGATCACGCATAACTTTTTAACGAATGGTCCGATTTGAAAAATTTCTTCTACATTTCGATAGGTATTGATAAACACAATAAAACTGCATTTTTACTTTTCCGAAATATTTAAATTTTTAAAATCGTATATAAGCGATTGTGGGCGTTAAAGGGGGCGTGGCACCTTTTTGAAACAAACTTGCGCTGCGTAGGAACTCCTAGAATCTGCATGCAAAATGCCAATCTTCTAGCTTTTATAGTTTCCGAGATCTCAGCGTTCATACGGACAGACAGACAGACGGACAGACAGACGGACAGACGGACAGACGGACAGACGGACAGACGGACAGACGGACAGACGGACATGGCTATATCGACTCGGCTAGTGACCCTGATCAAGAATATATATACTTTATAGGGTCGGAAACGCTTCCTTCTAGCTGTTACATACTTTTGCACGAATACAATATACCCTTTTACTCTACGAGTAACGGGTATAATAATCAGAGTACAATTAAGTAACAGTAATGTTTTAATAAAGCAGGCGTTATATGGTTTGGTTCCAGATAAACAAAAAATAATTTTATAACAAATATCAAAGTTTTTTATACATGGAAGTATAATTATACAGTACAATTACACGAAGGAAGTTAAGAATTTGAGTATTATGAAATATTTCCATACTACAGATCACTACATTTTTGAAAATCATTTTTAAGACTCCTTCTAAAACACATCGATCCACCCTCGCTGCAGCCAATCAATTGTTTTTCAAAGTTTTTCCCTCCATTTGTTAAGCAAACACGCAGAGACACAGACGCACAGTCCGAATTGGTGCTCCCCAAGCCAAAAGACGAAACAGACCTGACAATCGATCGAATCCAAATCGGAAATACCAAATGGAATAGAAAATAATAGAGGAGAGTGGAGGCCATAAATTGTGGTCTAGGCAGAGGAGGACACGCAGCTGGCTAAGCTGCGGATCAGTCGCCGGAGTAGAGTCTTCGGCACAAGGCCAACATAACAATCGGAAAAGGTCTTAAAAGCTTCTATAAGTTTGGTATGGAGGGAGGTGTGATTGAATGTACTAGATATTTCGGGGGGAGAACTACTTAACTTGAAGAGGGGGAGTAAGGTAGGAGGGGGTGGAGTGATTGAGGGAGGATAAAGTGGGGGCACCACTCCCATTCCTTTTTTTATGGGGAATCTATACTCGTATACTTGATTTTTATACTTACTGGTGGCTAAGACATAGAACAAATAACAACAGGGCAGTTTATACTGTAAGCCTAATAATATATTATATTTGTTAATTATATTTGTTATTAATTTATTTAATTATATATTCCCTTTCAATCCCCCAGGTCACACAGCATTGGGAAGTCCCAAGTACAGCTTTAGCACCCTGGAGTCCCGCAAATCCTCGACGGCGGGTCGTCAGCGCCAGCGTTTCGCCCGCAAGAGTTCCCTGCCGCTGGAGAATCCAGTGGGTACTGCGGGCTCCAGTTCCACTGGAGGATCGGTGGCAACGACGGGAATCCATGGCAGTAGCAGCTTGGGCATGGGTCTCGGTCTTTGCCGAGCAGAAAGTTTTCCCGTTCTCCTCGACTGCAGTCACGGAGCGGGTATTATGCTGGCTGAATCGGGATCTGGAGGATCGGGATCGGGAGGAGCTGTGGCCATTGCCCAGATCCTTGCCGATTCGGTGGCCGATCGCAGTGGTTGCATCCAGGCAGGCGATCGCATCGTGGCCATCAACAAGATGTATAGCTTGGATGCGGCGGCCATGAGGCAGTTGCTCGAAGGAGGATCCAGTCGCAATGGTGGCGGCAATCCCACGGGAACACCGGCCAACTGGCTGGAGCTGGAGATCGAGTTCGATATGCCGGATGCGGTGGTGCCCTCCAGTGGTGTGTTCAGTGTCAAGTTGCTGAGGGCCGGCAAATGCGGACTGGGACTGAGTGTCAGTGGTTCCAGCCACGGCGGATTGGTCATTTCGGATGTGAAGATGGGCAGTCCTGCCCATCGTAGTGGCTCCCTGCGATCGGGGGACATCCTGCTGGCCGTCGACCAGCATCCAGTGCAGCATTTCAATGTGGACGCACTGCTCAAGGAGGAGGGCAGCAGATCGCAGAATCCCAGTCACAGCTCCTCGGACTTCACCACCCTGACGATCAAACGGGTCGTCCTGCCCGATTTCCTGCCCATGTCCAGTCCGATTTACAGTAATTGTCCTGCCAGTGGCATAAATCTGGGCATGGGCATGGGTGTTTCCACCAGCACCGATCACGACCTGTACAGCAGTGCCTATGTGACGGCGGGCAAGTATGCGGATTGTGTCTCCCTGAAGTCGAGGACTCCGCAACCGGATTACTTTCGGGTGCCCAGCATGGACGATGCCAGCCTGCAGTCCGTGCAAATGCGATCGGGATCGGGATCAGGTTCGGGTTCAACCGGCGGAGGAGGTGGTGGTGGTCAGGCCAACTGCTGGTCCACCGGGGTCAACAGCCGATCCTTTGTGGCCCCTCCGAACACGCAGAGCCTCACCACCGAGCTGCCCGAGGAGGAGGACGAGCAGGAGCAGCTGTATCCTGGATACGAGCTCAACCGCTATGCCAGGTGAGTCTTTGCCTACCTACTATAATTATTTTTATACACGATTTTTCGTCATTTCTATAAGGGGTTACCTCTTCCAAATTCTCGAAAAATGGCTTTGTAGAAAAGTGACCTAAAACCTGCACTTCTAAGCCCATAACTTTTCGTACAGATATTCGATTTTAAAGTGGCATATCTCCAATTGATTGTGGTTTAATTTTCTAAAAAACTGTGTTCTCAGTTTATTTTTTAATTTTTGGTCGATTTTTCGTCATTTCTATAAGGGGTTATAAGGGGTTTCCAAATTCTCGAAAAATGGCTTTGCAGAAAAGTGACCTAAAACCTGCACTTCTAAGCCCAGAACTTTTCGTACAGATACCTCTGAGAATTATGACCTTTTCACACTTAAAAATAAATTACCTTTTAAGATGTAAATTTTGATTTTATTTATTATAATAATAGTACATACTCAGTTAAATCCTTGACGCACTGCATCTGGTCCAAGTAAGATGGTATCGCTGTGAGCCTTCTGCAACCGCTCCTCAATCTCACACACACACACATATATGATCTGGAATTTTATATAAATTATTAAATTAATTTTAAGTTAATTAAGAGGTCCTTGATCGTACATCCTGGTGACAATCCAACTCAGATTGTACAACCATTAATCATCTGGATCCCCTCAAGAAGCACACACTCACACTTACATATTCTGACATCCGAGTGAACTGATTTGTGAGCTGCCACAACCCTTAGGTCGTAATTTTTTGGCTAGAACTGGTTGGGAATTATAATTCCGAGGGAGTAATAATTTACCTTGACGATGACGTGGCCACCTTTACATTTTCTTAACTTACATTAACATTACATTAGCATAGATGGATGTTATTTAACATTTACCAAGTGTTATGTTGACTGTTAATTGTTGATTGTTGATAATTGATTGAACATACAACATACATGCAACATGCAACATTCTAAATGTAACATGCAACGTGCAACATGCAACATTCAACATGCAATATGCAACATGCAACATGCAACAACCTACATTTGTTGCATGTTGCATGTTGCATATTGCATGTTGAATGTTGCATTTTACATATAGAATGTTGCAAGTTGCACGTTCAATGTTGCATGTTGCATCTTGAATGTTGCATGTTGCATGTAGAATGTTCCATGTTGCATGTTGCAAGTTGCATGTTCAATGTTGCATGTTGCATGTTGATTGTTGCATGTATGTTGTATGTTCTATATTGTATATTTTTGCTTGTTGCGTGTTGAATGTGACATGTTACCTTTATTTTATTGTTTATGTTGTATGCAGTATATTTTATGGTTTATATTGTTGGTTATTGGTTTAGAGGCCTCACTATTTTTGCCAAAATGCAAGTTTCCAGTCTTATTAATTTCAACCGAAAGCTAAGAAATGTTACATTATTATTAATATTATGGACGGCAATCTACGTAATGACATATCGAAAATTTTTGATCATCGAAATCAAAATATAGAATATTTACTTTCAGTAACAGCTGCAAGGGTATATAAACTTGGGCCTGCCGAAGTTTGCTTACTTTCTTTGTTTGTTTTTTATGTTAGCTTTAATTTTCAATTTGATATGCAATGTGTATACTTTTTTCCAGTGTTGACTGCACCGCCTTGCCGCCGCCCATGGAGAACAAGGTGTACGGATCGGCGGCCAGTTCGAGCAGCAAAAGCAGCGGGAGCAGTTTGCACCAGATAATCTTCACGGTGCGATTGGAGCCCAAGGGAGGATTGCTGGGGATCACCCTGGCTGGCAGTGAGGACATCACCAAGCCCATCACAATCAGTGGCCTCGTGGAGGGTGAGTCTATCGAAAAGTGTTGCCATAAATAAACAGAAACTAAAACACATCCTTAATAACAGGAGGCATTGCGCACAAGAATGGCCAGATCCACGTAAGTGACCAGTTGCTGGCCATCGATGAGCACTCGGTGCAGGGAATGCCCCTGTCGCATGCCACCAGCCTGCTGCAGAATCTCGGCGACCTGGTGGACCTGAAGATCCTGCGGAGCCACGATCTGGCCAACGGCAGTCATCTGCCGCAGACGCAGGCCATCTATGCCAAGGTGCAGAGGCGTCCTCGGAGTCCTTCGGCCAACACGGAGGGCAGCAAGGAGTCGGGCAATGGGAATGCCAATGGAAATGGCAGCACCAATGGCAATGGCAGCGTAAAACCCCGTGTTTTCCACGTCACCCTGTACAAGGATAAGGTGTACGATGACTATGGATTCTCGGTGTCGGATGGACTCTACGAACGGGGCGTCTTCATCAACAGGATTCGCAGCGGAGGTCCTGCCGACATGTGCGGTCTCCTGAAGCCCTTCGATCGCATTATGCAGGTAAGTCGTTTTTGCCCATTGATTATCTTTAAACTAAAGTAATTAAAAATAAATATATTCCCCAGGTAAATGAGATGAAGACGCAGGACTTTGACTGCTGCCTTACTGTTCCGCTAATTGCCGCCGCCGGCGATAAAATCGAGATGATCATGCAGCGCACCGAGTGATCCTTGTTGTGCGACATCCTTATGTTAAACTAGTTGTACGCTAAGCTAATCCTAAGTGCCATTGCTAGCCCATAATATTATATATCCCTGTAACCTGTACCGAACGAACCAATCCCAAAAACATCACCAACCTTTAAGGACAATACGCGCAAATCAACCTGCCATAACCAAATAATGTCCTCTTTAAAATAGATCTGCCATAATTCTACTTTAATTCTACGCTAAATTTGTTTTCTAGCAAATAAATAATCATACCGAAAGTTTGTTCGAAACTAAACAATCAAAAACTATGAGTAATTTCATTGAGAGGTATAATCTATGGTTTTATGACCTATATTTTTGTATGTATGCCAAAAACAAGATTAGAATTTAGCGATCGTTTGTTGCTTCATGTTTGTTTACAAACATGTCGCATATTTTTGTTACAAAACAAAAATATTTATATAATTTAGATGGATTTCTGGAACGGACAACAAAATTTGAAGCTGAATTACGCGATCCTGTGTAAAATATAATTAATTAAAAAAATCCAGAACATTTAAAACAAGAGAGAACGCTATAGTCGGGTGCCCCGACTATCAGATACCCGTTACTCAGGTAAAGGGAGTGCGAGGGAGATGGAGATAGAAACTTTGATCACGCATAACTTTTTAACGAATGGTCCGATTTGAAAAATTTCTTCTACATTTCGATAGGTATTTATAAACACAATAAAACTGCATTTTTACTTTTCCGAAATATTTAAATTTATCGTATATAAGCGATTGTGGGCGTTAAAGGGGGCGTGGCACCTTTTTGAAACAAACTTGCGCTGCGTAGGAACTCCTAGAATCTGCATGCAAAATGCCAATCTTCTAGCTTTTATAGTTTCCGAGATCTCAGCGTTCATACGGACAGACAGACAGACAGACAGACGGACAGACAGACGGACAGACGGACAGACGGACAGACGGACATGGCTATATCGACTCGGCTAGTGACCCTGATCAAGAATATATATACTTTATAGGGTCGGAAACGCTTCCTTCTAGCTGTTACATACTTTTGCACGAATACAATATACCCTTTTACTCTACGAGTAACGGGTATAAATATACAATTGAAATAAAACGGGTAAGTTATTGTATAGAATCATGATTTCTTATAACAAGATTGTCTTTAAGACCCGGATCTTCAAAGACTGTGGCTTCATTTGCAATAAATCGCAAAGTCGTTTCTAAATGACTTTGGCTCTAAAACTTATGACTCTTCTAAATTTAACCCGTACTTTATACTTTGATCTGGCACTGATCTATGTAAACAATAATCCCCTTGGAGGCTTATGTCACTGAGAGCAATTGCAGCGATTGTTATTCAATATTCTGGATTGCGTATTCCATTTGAATTTACAACACTTCTTAATCGATACGCCCCATGTAATTCCCGTTGTAAACAAAATATTTTTACACTTGCCGGCGTGAAGTGGGCGTGGCAGATGACGTTGGGCCCTGCCAAACGAAAATAGCAAAAACATACATATATGTTTTGATTCGCAATGCAAGTGGATTTTTGAACCGGAATCGATTTTCAGAATCAAAGTTCGATGCTTATCGGGAATCGCGGTCATTAGCTGCAGATTCTACACGGAAGTTGTGCTTAGTGAGTCACAATAAAGTCTTCTTAATATATATTTTATAAATAGTTACAATATTATGGAGTTATTCTAATGATTTTATATATCTTTCAAGGGTATTTGGTTGGGTTTTCCAGAAAGGGGATGACTGCAGCAGACGAAGAAAGTCGTAAACAAAAACAAGAATAAAGCAGAATACAGACTACAGACTTTAAGATGTGATAACGCTTTTGAAAGGCCGCCTCTTGACGTCAATGGGCAATATTCGAGATCCTGGTGGAATGTCGAGCGATCGAAAACCCGTAAACACCTTCTCCGGACTTTGAACGCCTCGAAAGCGAAACGGGATTCTGCGATAACGCTTGCCAATGGGAATACATTCAATTGTATACTAGCCACCAGACATTGACACCACCTGAGGGGCAGGGGTGCCGCGAGTGCCCGTCGATTGACACAGTTCTTGAAGAATTTCATTAGGCCCCCTATACACAGGAAAATAATCGCAATAATACGCAAGGTTATCGTAAAAATTCTGATATTTTTGGCCGAAAAATAGTTGAAAATCACATTTTTCGTATTTCACATTTTTTATAAGTGGGTAAGTAGTCATCATTTTTCTCGAAAATGTTACAAAAAAATCTGTGAATGCCACTCGATTGGAAATTTTGTAACGATTTCAACGAGGTATGGCATTCCATTATTGGGCTATTACTTGCGTTGTTATGGTGAAAAAACGGATATTTTTGGGCGAAAAATGGCTGAAGATCACATTTCTCGCTTTTCACATTTTTCATAAGGGTATAGCTCATGAGTTTTCTCGAAAATTTTACAAAAAAAACTGTGAATGCCACTCGATTGGAAATTTTGTAACGAATTTAACGAGGTATGCCATTCTATTATTAGGCTTTTATTTGCATTGTTATCGTAAAATATACTGCTATTTTTGAGTAAAAAATGGTTGAAAATCACAGTTTTCACATTTCACTAAGTTATTTTATTGGTTAAACAATAACTAATTTATTAAATTTGACGATTGCTGTAAAAAAAAAGTAATTTCCTTCCGCACGGATTTCCTTAAATTCAGTAAATTCTGTAAGGAAAACTTAAACGAATGTATTTCTTTCTGTGCAGAATGGGTTGCGGGAAACATTTGCTGATAGCCCAAGGGGGGTCTCAGCCTCTATTTCTGACCCTACATGGATCCATCTTTCTGCCGCCCCTTTTTCCCAGAAAGATTGCTCAGCGAACGCCTCCATGGCGGTCACTTTGTTGTTGTCGACAGAGTTGTTTTCTTATCAAGAAGGTGCATCCAACAAAGAGCAACCCCGCCAGCTGGTGTACTTTGCATCTACACTGCGAGAAACGGTCGGATTCAGCTTATCAGCTCAGGGTCTTTTTCTCTCTTTTCCACATTCTCTGCCGCAAGTCGCGTGCCGAAGTTAAGTGATCAGTGGTGACTATATAAAGCTGAAATCTGACAATCATTACAAAAAAAGCTAAATATAGTATTTTCCGTGCTTTAACAATTATTGAATGTTGAAAAACGATAGAATTTTCAATACAAAGAAAACATTATTTTTAAAGATTGATATTGTATTGATTATTTTTGTACAATATTATTATTAGCAATATTAAATGAAACTTTATGGTGTGATTGAATATTATAGGATGATGATTAACAACTAATAACTAGAATTTCAACAAATCACTTTACAAGGGTTATAAATTCACATGTATATTTAGTTTTAGGGCTTTAAAGCTGTTTATAAATTTAAAATATTTTGATATTACAATATTGGAAATTAAACTTTGATTTTATTTCTTACTTATGGGCCATTATTAATTTGATTTCCAAGACATTTTTAAGTGGATTCGTCTTTTTTCAACCACCATTTATACTTGACCTTTGAAAGGTAGCCTTATTGTATTATTATAGCAATCATATGTCGGAAAATCGTCGGAACAGTCAGCACTATCGGCCCAACGTCATCGGTCGGTGGCTTCGGCTGCAGCTTCGGATGCAGCTTTCCGCCTCGTTTTCGGTTTCGATTTCGATTTCTCGCCGTCCGTCTTCGCATAAAAATTGCGTGGGGCGCAGCTGATCCGCTCAGTGTTCAAACGGTTCCCAAGCGACTCAGATCGGCGGAGATATAGCTGGCACATATAGCAGAGTCCGAGTCGAGTGTGAATCAGAGATAGTCGAAAACCCGAGGGCCACAAGAAACTAACGGCCCACTCGAGACGAGAGACAGTCGATAAGATTAACGTCAAACTTAATTAAAAAAAACTAACGAAAAGCCAGGCCACAACAAACGATCCATCGATCGATCGATCGCATCGTAACTCGAATATATAAGTCTTAGCCTTAGATAATATAGAACAGCCAACTCGAGTGGCACACGTTCAAGTGATTCGTGATTGTGGCTAAGCCCTGGGAAAAGTGTGTGATTTGAGTTGGAAATCTGTAACAATATCCAAGGGATCCAAGGATCTGAATCCTGACAAAGATGTACGTGGCCAACACCGGCGGCCTGATGCTGCAGACCATGTTGTATTTGGCCAATCAAACCAGTCGAGCGGCCGTCAACACCCTGGTTGATCTGCCACCAGCCCCCAAAAGTGGTAAGTAATCCGACCCGCGGTCCCACTTTTGACCACCAAATTGCACCACCACCCAAAGTAACTAGAACATGTTCATCGAAAGTGGCCCAAAAGTATCGCAGATCTGAGCCACAGTGGTGGGAGAAATAAGAGAAGCCAAGAGATTTAAATTATTTATTTGATTTATACAGTTTCCGAAAAAAAGGTTATAAACTTATCTGAGAGAAATTTAAATTAAATAGAATTTATCTGATTTTGGTTTTAAAAATACTAATTTTAATTCCAGTTCTACAAATAAGGCCCATAACTTCTTTTCTCTAAGATTAATTTATGAAGCTAAACACGTTCGTTTTATTGCCCATAAGTATTGAATTAGGCCTGTAGATTTCGAAATATCCGTTGTTCAGAGAACCAACTAATTTGAGCTATTATTTTGGCCGCAGGTGTGCGTTTGGGCCCAGTTAGGGGCCACCAATTTGGGGTTTCCTCCGCCTTAAGTGGTTTCTTGTCGGTTGTATGTCGAACAAACAGTCGTTGGCTCTTTAGCGGCTCAACACCCAAAGATGCTGAGTGGTAATCGGTGCGGCAATTGGGGAAAGCTCTTCCACGAAACCCGTGGCGATCACGATCACCTGCGGAATGGAAACACAGGTGGTGGCTCGATTTGGTTTGGAAATCAGGGTCCCATAGGCTAATGACGTGACTCGTCCGGTAAATGTATATATAGTGGCTATCTAATCGAAAACTTCCGATACAAAACGGAAAACTAAAGAAGACCGCGATAAAGAAGAGACGACAATGGCCGGTCATCCATGCACCAGTGGCCAAACCGATATCCATTTCCGATCACGGCTCGTTGAAACATTTAATGGATCACAGCTGTCTTCAAGGAAGATTTAAATTGGGCCCTCTAAGAATTGCAATGTCGTCTTGAAAATTATTAAAAGATTTACACGGTTCGTTAAGCTTTTTGCCAGACCAAAGCAATTCTAATTGAGATCGTCCAATTGTTACTAGCCCAGTAAAACGGTAGCGTTAAGAAGACTTATTAAAAACTACAAATATATTTTTGCTTAAATATATTTAATGCTTATTTTAAAAAGTAACTTTAAAATATGTTAATAAAATTTTAAAAGCTAAACAGACACAAAATGTATAATTTAAAAATGATTTAACTGTGACTGAGTCAACTTATTTTAGGTTTTGGAAACTACATTAGTACATTAGTACAATTGACACCAAATTAAGCCATTGTTTATAACGAACACGAATTATTGCTGATAACTATCAGTAAGATTTTGTTAGATTTATGGTTCTATAACTTTTTTTTACAGTTTCTTGGGTGATTATCCCACTGATTAAAAAAGTTATTATAGATGTTAGTCCAGATTATTTGTAAGATTTCAATTTAAGCGCTTTTCCCTGGCAATCGAATGAACCGGCACTATTCAGACCTAGTGATAGTTGGGCATTTCTCGGGAGATTCCAGCATGCTTATCTGGGTTCAGGTGTTCAGCGTGGCGCTGATTTATAGACCAAATACCCAACTAATAATCCTCCGATTGTTTTCCTTTTCCCGTCAGACATCAACGAGGTGAAGTGCTTTGGCGTGTACGGCTGTTTTCCGATTAATGGGCCATGGAACACGGTGACACGGTCGATTAATGTGCATCCGCAGAAACCCTCGGAGATCGAGCCGCATTTCACGTTGTACTTGCGAAAGGCCATGGATCAGCCCAAGTACCTGGACCTCAATGATCCGGATGGTGTCCAGGGCATGGGCATAAATCCCAAGGGCAAGATCTTCCTGCTGGTCCATGGCTACCTGGAATCCGGCGAGATTCCCTGGATGTGGGACATGGCGAAGGCTCTGCTGGCCCACGAGCCGGAGGGTCGGGCAGCCGTGGTTCTCATCGATTGGGGCGGCGGTGCGAGTCCTCCGTATGTCCAGGCGGTGGCCAACATCCGGCTGGTGGGCGCCATCACCGCCCATGTGGTGCACATGCTGTACGAGGAGCTGCGTCTCCCCAATCTGGACAATGTCCACATAATTGGCCACTCGCTGGGCGCCCATCTTTCGGGCTATACGGGATATCATCTGCAACACGACTTTGGCCTGAAGCCGGCCAGGATTACGGGTCTGGATCCGGCTGCTCCACTTTTCACGGACACCGATCCCATCGTTCGACTGGATAAGACCGATGCCCACTTTGTGGACATTGTGCACACGGATGCCAATCCCTTGATGAAAGGTGGACTGGGCATCAATATGCGACTGGGTCACGTGGACTTCTTCCCCAACGGAGGATTCGATAATCCCGGCTGCAACAAGAAGTTCCAGGATGTGGCGAAGAAGAAGACGCTGTTTCTGACCGTGCAGGAGTTCCTCGGCTGCAATCACATCCGCAGTCAGCAGTATTTCACGGAGAGCATCGGTTCGCAGTGCCCTTTCCTCGGAATAACCTGCGATTCTTTCGAGGTGAGTAACTTAGACATAGAATTTACATTTTACTTTGGTTTGATATATATCAAAGATCTTAAAGGTGTTCACAATTATAAATTAATTCGAAATTTATGTTTTTTTTTAAATTAATCAATGTTATTTCCCCCTTTTCAGAGCTTCAAGGACACGAAGTGCACCAGCTGCGAGGAGCCGGGCCACACCTGTCTGCGGATGGGCTATCACAGCCAGGAGGATTACCAGGAGCAGGTGGATATGGGCCAGGTGCAGCAGGGCGACTCACCAGGTGTCTTTTACCTGTGGACAGGCGATAGCAAGCCCTTCTGTCGGCTGCACTACAGGATTACGGTGCGAGTTTCCGGACATGATGAGAGTACACTCCATGGCGGTGAGGTGGGCATCCTGTCCGTTCAGCTGCACGATGCTCTGCACAAGAGAGCCACCACGGAGATGATGAAATTCTCTCCGAAGGCCATGTACTTTGAGCCGGGCTACGAATACAAAGCACTGGTGGCCGGAAAAAATCTCCGGCAACCGGAATACGCCACCGTAAATTGGGAATATCCCACGAACATACTGAATCCACTCACCTGGCGCATCCTATCGGCGCCGCGAATTTACCTCGAGTACATCCTCATTGAGGCGATGGAGTCCAACGAGCTCTATCTGAAATTGTGTCCACAGCACGAGGGAGCCATTCTCACGGGCGCCGAAAATGTCCTGCGCTCCAGCTATTGCAAGGAATAATAATCATCTGTTAAATTAACAACCTGATTTGGTAGCTTATTGGTTAATTGATTTTGTAATTGATTTAAGAAGCCCATTGATTTAGACGATCGCTTATTGGCCAAGGTAAAATTGCATTATCTTAATTAATTTTCTAATTAATTAATGTTTTTTTCCTTGGCTGATTAACAATCTAGTTAAATATGGATTAACCTTAATCATTTCATTTAATTAATTAATTTTCTACTGAATTTTGAATTGTATGTAAACTATATCATTAATTAATTAGCTAATTAATTTTATGTTCGACTTATATAGTTTATTGATTAATTAGCTAATTAATTAAGAATATAGTTATTACTTCCTTGGCAGAACTGCTTCATGTAGAGAATCGAGTCAAGCAGTGCAGGTTCGCGCCTCCGCTTAGATGAGTACCCAATATAACCGTTGGTGCGTGTCTGCAAAATGAGAACAGATCTAAAAGTGTTCCTACTTGGATTTTTATAGCAACTGCCCAAGAAAGAACAGTTTGTATTTTATTATAGTATTTTAATAGTTCGCAAAAGAAACAATCATCAAACCGTTATTTATTTTATAAAATATTTTTTTGTCATTTTTTTTTGAGCATATAAAATGTATTTGTAGTTATAGTACATTGATGTAGCCTAATTTAATGTAAATAAAAACGAAAACTTTGAAAAGAAAACTAAGTTATTAGAATTTTAAATAATAACTTTTTAACTATAGGTTTTATTCAATCTTATTATCGGTGAATAGAATATTTTAAGATGTACATATTTGTTATTCAAATGACTCCCATTTCTTGCACCGAAAGTTCGATTTAAAAGGAACTCGAGGTTAGATAATTGCGATAAAAACCTTTGGTGACACAACAAGTCCCCAGATTTGGATCTGCCTGCCTATAACTCAAATCAGCTGTGGATTCTAATGAATTATAAACACAAACACGAAACACTGGAGACGGGGGACCGAAATTCCATGACATGGATCCCCAGTCTGTTGTTGATGTTAATATTTTAAATGCTTATCGGGGCAAATGTATCTATCGCATGCATGTGTATCTTTTACATATAATTGATATTATCTGCATTGATTCGACTCGTTTTCAACCTCGTTCGCCGTCTCGATTTCGGTTTCTGTTTCGGTTTTCGGTATTCTGTCTCTGTTTCAGTTTCAGTTGAAGTTTCTGTTTCTGCGGCTGGGTCTTTGTTTTATGATCGAACATTTGGACATTCCAATGCTTTCCGGGCAGCCCCAAAGCCTCAGACACTACACAGAAATAAATGTAATGATTTTGACATATTAAATAGAACCCAAAACAAAGTATAATGTTTAAAGATGACCCCCAAAATGTATTACTATTAAACAACTAACGTAAAGCACCAATTTAAGTTGTGTTTTTGGTAAGTAACTGCACTCTTCTTTTGTATTTATTTCATATAATATTTTATTGGAAATTTAAATTGTTTCTTTCAATTTAAAACAGAATTTAATGCACACCCAGAAAATAATAAATATTAATACCTTAGGTACTTTGGCTTTTGAATGTTGTTAAAAACAATTCTCCAGTTCTTAAATATATTTTAAAGGAATATGAGTGTATGAAATAAAGTCTTTAATAATCTTTTTTTCAGTGTTTTTCGGTTCCAGTCTCAACCTCAAAATGAACCTGGCCCATAAATATGTTGACAGAGACAGAGATAGACAGAGAGAGAGAGAAAGAGGGAGACAGTTGATGATCATGTTGACAATGTTTCGCTGGAGTTCATTTCATTCGTTTCTGAGAACTGAAATTGTTTGAAAACCTTTTCATGTTTTGACTTTCGTTGCTCCACCTGTGTCCCCCGCCTCCCAAATGTGTGCCCACTTATTCCCATGATATGCATTCATTAATAATGTTAATCGATTTGGGATAACTCCTCGATCTCGGCCACCGAATGTCCCCGAATGTCATGGGAAATACGGCAAAGCAAATGGCCAAGTGCCTCCCCTTTCGGTTGTTAAATGCAGCTGCAATCCGTTAGCCATCCGCCTCTTAATTAGTTCACCTTGGCCTCCACTTCCTTCTAAATTCCTACTCCTTTTCCATATTTCGTTTTATGATTTTCCTCACATTTTCCCCTGACTTGTGGCATAAATCAGACGAGTGCGCCGGCTGAGGGACATCAAATGGGGCTCGGGCTCAAATCAAAATGTCATAATTCCAGCGGGGCAACATCAGCGACAATACGTCAACATCCCCTCCCTCGATTTTCCACCAGATTCTTCACCCCTTCCATCGACCATATAGATCCACCCACCCACTCTGTCATTTCGCCGTTTAATTAGTCGGACGCGCCGGCGTCGCAAACAAATCACATAATTATGATTGAGCGCAGGCAGCGCCAACTCTTTTTTATTTTAGTGGGGAAAAGGGGGAAAAAGGGGAAAAATCCCCCTGAGTTTTCCCCCGCTGCGGCGCATTTTGGGGTTTCCTTTATGGGCCGTCAGAGTCGCGTGCATAAATATAAATCAGGGCCGGCTCACAGCTGCCGTAATTGAATGCAAATGTCCATCCAAAAATACGATGGCTCTAAAGTGTTCCCCCCCGTCAGATATATCTTCTATATATTTTCAATATAGTGCTGCGAGGCGACAATCTGCTCTAAATTATCACGTGTAGGTGCTGCCGTCGGTTTTTTTTTTCTCCTCACTCCTCAAGTAACTTTCCCCGCTTTTCCTGCGCTCCATTGTCTCCGTTGGCGATGCGTGGAAAACTAATTTCCCACTCCCGTTGGGATTTCGCCTCTCCATCCCGCTGGCATTTTCCGTGCACCATTCATCTTGTGCATTTTTCTGATATTCATAATTCGTGGCGTGTGCGCCGAGTTTTCCCCTCACATCCATCCACCCAATCCATCCAATCCATTTTCCAGCTCCGCAGGAGGATGCGGAGTCGTCTCCTTTTGTCAGCTTGGTAAATTGCACCACGTGTTTTTGATAATGACGACATAATTACGCCACAAGATGAAAAATAAAATATAAATAGTCTAGAGCATCTGCAAATGAAACGATTAGGTAATTATTAACAATGTGAAAATAAGTAAAGTAGTAAAATAAATATTAAATTTTGTAACTTTAGATAAGTACATATGAACATTATCTCAAAGACATCTAGAGATATTTAAGTCAGAATTAGTTTTTAAATGTAATATATTTTAGCGATAATTAAGAGCATTTGAGATATTGGACGAGGATATCATATATAATTTGTAAAACGGCAACAAAAGCTGTCGTTATATTCAAATTCCGTTGTCGTTTTCCTTTACTCCCTTAATATTTACTTTGTCAACCCTCGCCGAAAGATCTAAACAAATGAAATGTCAAAATGCAAACAACAAACAATAAACAAAAACAAAGGCGAAAGGGATAATGGATAATGGGGGAGGCGAAGGAGAAACCGCCCGCGGTCACTTAGAGCACTAATTTAAATATCATTAGTGAACAATTAAAACAAAGAAATGCCATTCGAAGCCATGCGACAAAGCCAGAAAACGGAAAACAGAAACAGAAAACAGAAGCCGCCAGCAAAGGACTAAAAAGCAAGGACTAAGAACCAGGACAATGCGACGCCATCGCCATCGCAATCGCAAGTCTCCTGTCACCGCCCACGAATCGCCTGGGGGCGTGGCAGGATTCGGCGGAAGGATTCGGAGTCAGGAGCTACAAAAACTGGAGGGAGGGTGCGCATAAATGTCAACAAGAAAAGCCCGAAACATGGAAGTCTGCTCGCCAGCAAACGAACTTTAAATATCCTGCAGTATTTGGAGTTGTTTATTAAAAAATATTAATTATATCATTAGACTTTTATAAATTAATATTAATTAACTATTAAAAGATAAATAATTTACTTTCTTACCTCCCTATAACAACATTTGTTATAGAATTCTAATTATATTATACTGCTACTTATTTTCAACAAAAATATTAAATATAACTTTCATAGTGTTTGTAATATTATTTCTATAAAAAGCCAAGATTAAGTAACAGAAAAGTTAAGTTAATTGAATCCTGAAAAAGCCTCCTATTTATAATAAACCCAAAATTCGCAGGGTATTTGTGTGGAAGCCAAAATCAAAGGGCGACAGGCGACAATATTTTTTGTGGCTTTGCCAAAGTTGTGACAGCCCGGCCAAATGAAAAGGTTTCTTTGGGTTGGAATAGGTATTGGAACTGGGATGATGATTACTCGGCATGAGAATGGGTATGTGAATGGGCAGGTGTTGCGTCATGGATCCTGGTACTCTAACTGGTCCCCCCATTTAAAAGCATTTCAAATACCATTTGTCAGCGGGAGAAATGGGAATCGTGCCTTATCGATGCGGGGCTACTGGCAGACGGTCCTGGTTTCAGGTCCTTCTGCTTTTTCGAAACCCAACCCCTCCCATTTGGGAAAAAAAAGGCAGCCACGTGTCCTTCTGCTGGCGGCCAAGTGCGCATCCTGGATGAGGATTCCCATACGGATGCGGATTCGCATTTGGACTCGGTCACCTGATGATGCTTTTCCCAGGACCAAAGGGAAAGCCACCCACCCGAGGGCTGGCACAGGGGTTACTGGTGGTGATGGAGGGCCGCGTAACATGATCCCTGCGTGCCTCGGCATAATTTGTTATTTGGGCCAACGCATTATAGTCCACATCCTTGTGCTGACGCTGATTATTTCCCGTACCGCCGCCGAACTCCCCATTCGAAGACACCTTCTTTTGTCGACGCGACGCGATGCGATGCGACCGTCGAAGAAAATATCGATTACATTCGCTGAAAGTTTTTCGTTCCGCCAAAACAAAAACAAAAAATGAAAATGCAAACAAAATAAATAAATAAAAGGTGGAGACAAAAGAACCGCAGAACAAAGCAGCCAAACCACTCGGTTTTGGGTCCCAGCCCCCGCCAGAAAATAACCATAAATAAGGGTAATAAAAGTGATGCTCAGTTGTCGCTGCAGCAGCTGCATCTTCCCAGCTTCAGCTTCAGTTTCATCTTCAGCTTCAGATCCCGATTCCGATCCCGATCCAGATCCAGATACGTCGCCAATTGCGAATAAATATCCGGCACTGCCAATAATCATAACATTAACTCACCCGGTGGAAGGCCTAATGAGATCCGAGAACATCCTCTCGGGACTTTGGGACCTGTCATCCGACCTTCCAAGCCAAATCCTAAGATCTGAAAAAAAATATGGCATCTGTTTGTGAGCTCAATTTAAGTATATCAACTTGTTCCATAAGAAAACTTTTATATTTCTTAATAATTCATAAAATAAATAGCAATTTCTAATACTAGTTTTTTGAAAACAATTTAGCCGTTTTAAACGTTAAACATTTTACGGGTATTTAAACCATGGATGTAATATTTTGAAACCAAAATTGCAATTAATATTTTTAAAATCCTTTTTTTATACTATTTTTAAAATGAATGTTTCGAAAATGTAACTCTTGTTAACCCACACATAATGACAGTTTTGTTGAGCCCCTCTTTAAAAATAAACCAAACGAGCTGCTGCCTTTGGCTATTCTTGAATTTATTCAAGCATTTCTTTTCACTTAAACAATCTAGGATTATGTTGTACTTAAAACAAACTGTGGATAATCGTGGTAAATGTATATAGGTGCAAATGTATATAGGTATTCAAAAACAATGTAAAGTTGGACTTGGAACGCTCAATGGAATCTCTCGCTCTATCTTTGTTTCTCATATTTTTGCTTTGATCTAGGATCTGCGAACTGTGAAACAATCGTATACGTTGAGTGGCCCGTGTAAAAGGAGCCGCCTGGCCAAATGCTCTTTTTTTGTTTGATTTTTTTTTTATTCCATCCGGGATCTGGAAGTTGGCGAATCCATTGTTCGATGGGCAAACAAAGGATGGGTCGTGAGCGTCGAGGGGCGAGTTATTAAAAACAATATTCGAGGCTTAGCCGGAACGCCTGGATGGGCAGATATATATCTCAAATCGAGTCGAGTTGAGTCGGAGTCGGAGTCGAGTCGAAATGGGGAGTGGACTTATCTCGCATCTCCGCATTAACACTTTCGCACACGCACACGCACACACACGGTCTCGGTCACGCAGACAAACACAGGCACACGGACATGGCACAAAATGGCCGCTAAGGAGCCACATATATATATATAGTCGTATATATATCTTCCATCTCCGGCAGACTTGGCACCCCACACACCACACACTCCCCCACATTTGGTGGGTCGATATCTGGATGACTGCGAAAACACTGGGAAATACATTACTAGGGGAAGTTTTCTGCTGCGAATTTCGATATTAATCTAGTTCAAATCCTTTCTTTTACTGAGGAAAACTTTCTCCCAATTACATTTTACACTGTTGTTTGTCTAACATTGAAAATGGAAAGAAAAGTTAATATATTATTCTCAAAAGTATAAAAGTTGCATATAGAAAAACGTGTGTTAATTTGGATAGAAAAATAAGGGCCCACATCAACTGGATTTAAATTAAATTTTATAAATATAATAATAGATGAAAATAATATTCAAAAGTAATATTTTCAGGAAGAAAAAAATCAAAGTAATAATAAATGAAGTTAAAATGCCACACTAAAGGAAAGATAGATTAAAATGGTTTTATACAATGACACAACAGCGTTCCTTTAACTGCATAAGAGATTAAAATCGATTTAAGATACAAGATATCCCAAGAACTTCGCAAAAATGTCTACAAAATCGACCCACCTCAACCCCCTAGCCACGCCCCCTTACAACTTCTCAAAGGCGTTGGCATTTGTGAGCAGTTCGCGGGTCAATCGCCACACCTGCTTGGCGGCCTGCTCCAAAGCACTGGGGGATTTGCCCTTGAACATGTCCAATCCCGGAAGGAAGTAGTGGGGACATCGGCGGTACTGCAGACAGGATATCAGCTGCAGGAAGATCCCGTTGATGCGGTCCGCAATGCAACTCTCGTCCCACTCGAAGTCCCGCGGATGTTTCTCGCACTCGTAGAGCAGCAGGTTCTTCAGGTGGTACGCACTGATGGGATTACCTGGTAGCTCCATGTGCCTGTCCCTCAGCGTCTTCAGCATGCTCAAACAACGCCGGCGGCAGCCACCTGGAAAAGTAAATTAGATATTAATACCACCACAGACTAACCTTAGATTTTGAGAGTTGAAAACCCCTATTCAGTTATTATTACCAAATTCTTTAAAATTTATTTAGAGATTAAAAAATTACAAAATTCATGATTTAAATTTAAATTTAAATTGATAATTCTTTGAGTGATTTAATTACCTTGCAGGAGGCGATTTTCGGCCTCGAAAAAGCTGAGGACCCAGGCATCGCCCTCCATGCTGGCCGCATTATTGTTCTTGTTCTGCATGACGACGCTCTCCTTGGACAGAAGATCGAACCCCTCCGTCTTAACCTCCGCCACGATATTGGGATGTGGCCACGGAAGATGGGGCACCGGCCAGTGGGCCGCCGATCTCGGCCAGATGCCGGAGCACTTGAAGGCCGGCGTGATCTGGACCAGGAATCGCTCACGAACGCGCAACTTCACCTCGCTGGTGTCGCCCACCATTTTGACCATGTCGCGGTAGACACTCTTATCGCAGGCCTGGGCCACCAGCGTTTGGAAACGGGCTCGGATCTTCCGGGAGGACAAATACCCACTGGCCGTGATGAACTCCACCCACAGGGACATGGACCTCTTCCTGCCATCGCTTAGCTTCAATACAGCACATCCTGGCAGAGTGCCATCGTCCACAAAGTTGAAGACGCCCATTTGATTCAGATAGAGGACTATCTCGAATTCGTTTGGGGATACGACCTCCACGCCCTCGAACCTGTAAAACGAAGACACATTTATTATTATATATCATATCCTATAATATATCATTGAACATAAAATAAAATACTGATACAATACTGATCGATTCAAACTAATCCAATAAAGGGTTTATTAATAAATATTTAATGGCATTCAACATATTTTTATAAAAAAATTGTAAGGCAGTTTTGATCTAATTTAGCCAAGATACGATGCACAGCCAAAAGAATGTGCAGCAAAATATCTAAACTATCAATTTCAGATTGATATGGAAAAATTGATTTTTTGAAAATATTTTAGCATTTTTCATAACATCATAATTTTTGCGAAAATCGGCAAAAAAAAATTTTTTAGCTGAGAACATCAAACAATTGGAAATTTTCGAACGAATTCAACGAGGTATGACATTCCAACTTTCGACCACTATTTCACAGGGTTTTGATTAAAAACCCAAAAATGAAGCTGATTTTTTCCGGACATGATGACATTTCAAAAAGCTCGAGTTTATTTTTTCGGGAGCTGGGTCTTTAAAGTTTTTTATTCTAACTTCGCCAAAACAAAACGCACTTCCATTGTTTAAATATTTATATATATCTAACTGATCAATCCAATCTAATAAGTGGCGATTGCACCTCGGGCAAAGTGGAGAACCCCGATGGGCATGACTTGACAGGTAACTGACAATGACGCTGCACTTTGGTAGTAATGATCCCAATGGAGTGGTGAGGATTGCAGTGGAGTGGAGTGGATTTAGTGGAGCGAGCAGGAGCCGCGATGACAGTCATCCGGGCACTGGAATTACGCAGATACTTTGCTGAAGGCTCTGTGGTTTGGGTCACTTAACAGATCTGATCGATTGAGTACTACCCGTTTTGTTACCTAACTCATTTTCAGTTTATTAAAAACAAATTAAAACATATTTACTATTATCTGCAAGCATTGAAATAATTTTGAAGTCGATAGAAATTTGTTGATTTGATAAAACTAATCGAGATCAGAAGATCTTTTGACGTTTAAAATGGTCTTTTAAAAAACAACTCAGAAATTTTAATCTTACTTAGCTTTTGATTTTGAATGAGGGTTTATTGAGACTTTTTAATTATCCTTTGAGTCTTGGTCATTTTGTATCATTCATTTAACTAAATGTGCATATTTTAATGTTTAAATTGCTCAAACTGTACGTAAATTAACTTGTAATAAATCTGTTTAACCCTAAAAGATAAAACTCAAAGAGGCTGGAGTTAAGACACTAATAAAAATATGAAAGATTTTAAAAGCATTGTTTTACAATTAGGTTGAATTTTTACTATTATTACCTGCCATTGCACTCGACGAGGCTGGAGATGAAGCGCGGCTCCTGCAGCTCCACCTCCTTGAGGATGTCCTGGACGATCTTGCAGATCTCGCGGATGGCGGTGGCCGTCTTGAACATCCTGGCCTGGACCCTCTCCGCGCAGAATCGGTTCATCTGGTAGACCATGCGCGTCTGGGCGGCCATCATGTCCGGCGGCACTAGCATGGTATTGTCCTTATCTCACTTTTCCGCGCCGAATGCCAGTATCTGCATCTATATCCGCACCAGTATCTGTATCTATATCTATATCTGCACCCTTTGACCAGCCGGTTGTACCTTTTTCCCGGCGACACTTGGTCTGGCGGCCAACTTGAAAGCCAGCGGCGGCCAGCCAATTATGCGAAATTCGGGAGCGGGTCTCTTCTTTAAGCCGGGACAGTAACAGAAACAGAAACAGAACAAAGGAACAATTCAATTGTGAGTTACGGTGACAGCAGAGCAACAATGGGCACAAGTGGAGCACGACGACAACAACCGAGGTGTACGAGTATGTATATCTGGATTTTGGCTTTTGGCTTTTGGCTTTAGGCTCTGGGCTCTTGGATTTTCGATTTTCGATTTTCGTGGCTGCAGTGACTGCAGTGGCCCGCAGATACAGTATCTGCATTGGCAAATCGCAGGCCGAATGATGATGCGTTGTGCTAAAAGGCGATACCCCCAGATAGCGATGTCGATTTCGAGTACGAGTACGAGTACGAAAAGAGGAGACCGACACCGAGTCCGAGTTCGAGTCCGCCAGACGATACCGATACTCCAGTCGCTCGCTGGCGTTGTAAATCTCGCGGATATTTACAGCTTCGGCAGATAAAAAGCGCTGAAAGTGCAGTTTTGCCCGGCTGCACGAGAGTATCTCCAGTATCTCAGTATCTAACGAATCCGCCATCTCGTCTCGGTGCCCATGAATGGGATCCAGATACAGGGGGAGTGGTGGTGGGAGGGGGGTTCACACAGCCAAAGATACAGATACATGTCGGGACTGTCACGTGACAGGCGTCTCTGTCTCGTGCCACGCATTCCGACGCTTAAAAAATCGATGAGATACTCTACACAGCGCCGCATATCTGCCGTATCTAACAGATACACCTGAAGAAAAATACATACAATCATTTCAAATAAATAGAAAACAGGTAAGTAAATTATACTGAGTCAAATAAGTTTGTCAGTGTAAATATAGACAAATATTTTTATGATTAGTCTTATTCGAAATTAAGGTATATTCTCTTGTAGTAATTTTTTATCTAATAAAACATGAAACACTGAAATATTTATAAAACTGAAAACAGAAAATAAAATTTATTTTCAATTTAAAATTTTAACAAAATTTATTTTAATGTAAATATAAGAAATATATTAAATACACTGTGCTTCTCTTTCAGAAGTAAAAATTCGTGAGGAAATGAAAAAACAAAGTCAATTTAATTGCTCAGATTTTGTTAGAATGAACAATTTAGGCGCAGTAAACATTTTTCATATACAATTTTCCTATTCTTTATTTTTAGCTGTAATTGCTGATTCAATATAAATATTTTTCCCAGTGCACGGAAAAAAAAACACAAAGAGATACGCTCTCTCTCGCGTTCCCATCTGTATGGGTGTATCTATGGGGTTGACTGGCTGTGTATCTGTGAGAGCGGTGCGATATGATTGGTCCGCTGTGGCCCCGCCCCTTTTTGTGGCCGTTACGCTGCGGCGCCCTCTTTGAAGTCGCTGCCTGTCGATGTGTGTATCTGTGTGTAAATTTAATTTGTTAAATACATTTCGGCCTGCCATCGCGTACAAGTTGTGTGCAATAATTTATCTGAAATGTGCACTCATTTAGCAAAGAGCAGCGAGCTGCGAGCAACGAGCAACCCTCGTCCATGTTCGCCGGCCGATATCTTTATATCTCGCGGATACACAGATACATTTACACTCATAAATATGTCGCGTGGATTAATGTGCCAGTTGGCAACTTCTGACAGCCCTCGCAGTTCCAAGCGAGCAACTTCCTCCGCGTTCAGTTTCCCCCAATATGTATACACATGCCCATGTCTTATGTACCGCATACTATACTATATGGTACTATATGGTAGCGCACTTGATGGACATGTGGCAACATCAAAGCGCCCGTCGCCTCCTCCAATTAGACAAATCCCAGACGCAGCCACTAATTCGAGTGGAGGCTAAACACAATCCGAACACAACTGCCGACGACCAACAACATTTTCGCCAAAGGAAATGGGAAAAAGGGGTCAAGCATCCCATGTTGACGGAAGTATCTGAAGATACATTATAGTGTCCACCAAAATACATTTGAAATCTCCTAGAAATTAGTGTAGCACCAAATGTGGATTACACTTTTGAACTTGCGTTTCAAAACTACAAAAAAAAAACTTTAAAAATAGCCTTTAATAAAATTGTTCCTTAACTGATACCGAATTTGCCACAAAATATTTATTTAAAATATGCGGAAATACATGCATTAAATCCTCTAAAAATATTATTCAAGATGCAGTAAACTAAAAGCTTTTTATACAGTAGTAAACTGAAATAAATTCGCAAATGAGCGATAAAACAGACGTTTATTGATTGTTAAAAAATACTGACAATAGAATATATTGCATTCAATCAAATCACATAAAGCTGACCATTTCCTGATTTCCCATGGTATTTACACATACTAATTTTTGGCCACTTATCTAGGCCCCACTGTATCTTTTGCTGGCTGTTAAGTCTTTTGTTCGGCTTTATTGACATCAATCAGTGGCAGTTTGAGCAGATCTAGCCGTATCTAAATAGTATTCAGCCCATTCCAATTTGTTGGGGACGTGAATCGAAGCTGTCAGCTGAATTTTAATGGAGCCCAAATGAATGGGATGGATTGCGATTGGATGGTTCGGGATGGCATTGGTTGGAAGTTCCCTGGACGGACGATGCCAGGTGCTCTGCTCCACGGCACTTGGCTGACTTTTGGCGCGCTGGATTTCCACGTAACCAGATAGTGGAGGTGGCAGTCGTACTCCTATCTAGATGGGCGCATATCTGCATAAATTGAAAACAAAAGGGGCCAAAAACAAGGAGAAGTACACATTTTTTTTCGTTTTCGTTTTTTTGTTTGTGGTTTCGGTTTGAAAATTTCAGACAGGATCGTCGCTTTCGGGGTCGCCGACCATCCAACCATCCAACCATCCATGTGCATATGTGCCTTGTGTGTTTTTCCCGTATTTTATATATCTCTTAGATCTCGAAGAAATTTGAATATAATTTATGTGCAATCGTCGCTTTTTTTCGGTCGGTTCGGTTTATTCGCCCGCTCGCTGACCGCCTGTTCTTGAAGTCCGGTTCGGTTCCCGAAATGAAGAACGATCCATCCATCTAAACGTTTGTCACTTGCTCCGTTGTCGCCGCCGCGTTTGTCTTCTCGCTGCTCCGCCAGCTCTGCTCCTTCGTCGTCGCGTCATCGTCTCTTTTGTCTTAGTTCTCTGGGTTCCCAGTCCCCGATCCCCGATCTCCGATCCCCGGTCTCTATGCCCATCCAATCTTATACCATCCCGATCCCATCCTCGTCCCTTCAGCAGACATCATCGGAGTCGTTTATTCCGCCGGTACATATACATATATCAGACTGTCCAGCTGAGTTGGGCCAAACAATTCTGGGAAAGAGCGACAAGTAAGCTAGAGCCAGTTTATAAGATCATGTATCTAGATCTAAGAAACTTATGGTGTAATCAGCTAAGTCAAACAAACGATAGATCACTAGATCAGCTGATAAATATAATATTACTATATACATATATTCAAAATAATATGTTTATTAAATTTGCATTTCAGAAATACTGATTTTTTAAGCTAGCATATCATAAAATTGTTATTGAACTTACTTATGAACTTACTATTTAAACGGTAGTTGTTCATTATAATTATATAATTGAGTTCATGAAATTGGATTGTTTTAAGTTGTAGGACCTCTAGACAGCTGAGTAAACGAAGTATGATACTTTTTTAATCAGCAAATCAATATTTTATATGATCTCTATATGCATTTAAGCTAACAGCTGGGAGGTGGCTTATATGTGGGTAACCTGATACTCAACAAGAAAAGAAGCAAACTTCGGTAAGCCGAAGTTTATATACCCTTGCAGTTATTACAAATCGACTACATTTCGATTATCATGCCTATATTACTAAAAACATTAAAGCTATGTCGATTTTTCGCTGCATTTTGCCATCTTTTCTATGGTAACTATATGATATTTTAGACCGAAAAAAAAAATTAAAAAAACAACTAACTTATAATTGTTTTTAATTTTTTTTTCCGATTGTGACTATGATATAGTCGTCCGATCCGGCTCGTTCCGACTTATATACTACCTGCAATAAAAAGACAAGTTTTGGGAAAGTTTCGAGCGTAGAAACGGACGGACTGACGGACGGACAGACGGACATGTCATTTTCATGTCATTTATTTCCAAGTTTCCGATGTGTTGTTCAAAAGTGGCCCATAACTGGACTTCCGAAGTCCATAACTTTACCAAATTTTATCCGATTTCAAAGTGGCATACCTCTGAAGACTTGTAATTAGATTCCCAAAAAATCTGCATCAAAATTTTTCATTTTAGCGTTGGTCCAATTTTTGACCCATTTTCATGTCATTTATTTCCAAGTTTCCGATGTGTTGTTAAAAGGTGGTCCATAACTGGACTTCCGAAGTCCATAACTTTACCAACTTTTATCCGATTTCAAAGTGGCATACCTCTAAAGACTCGTAATTTGATTCCCAAAAAATCTGCATCAAAATTTTTCATTTTAGCGTTGGTCCAATTTTTGACCCATTTTTCCTGGTGATGCTGATCAGGAATATATATACTTTATAGGGTTGGAAATGTCTCCTTCACTGCATTGAAAACTTTTGACTGAAATTATAATACCCTTTGCAAGGGTATAAAAATAAGTTTCAAAAATGTCGAACCTTTCATACCTTAAAGCTTGTTTTAATTCCCTATCTGTTCAGGAGCTTTGGTCATCGGTGGCCGATGCTATTCCCATCGCATGTCGGCGCAAAGCAGAATCGTGTGATGAATTAATAAGCAGCCACTCCACTCCAGACTGCAAGTGCTTCCCCTCGATTCCCGATTCTCGATTCCCGATCCTGGAGCAGTGCTAAGCGGATTTGCGTTTATGGCCATTAACCC